AGAGATCTACTGAAGTCAGCTTTGTACCAGGAGACATGGGATGGTTGGATAATCCCAGGAAGACCAAAGGGAAATCTCCTAAGTTGTCTTCTCCATGGGAAGGCCCATATGACATAGTGGATCTATGTCAGACGTGACTTTCTGGATAAAATGTGGTCGGCAAGGTAAGCCAAAAGTGGTGCATGCCAACAGGCTTTGGCGTTATCAAGGTCCAGGACATTTCAGTGGGGACGAAGTGGACAACAGAACAAATGACGCTGCTGAAGACGTGCCACCTGAAGAAGCCACCGTCGAAGAAGAAACTCTACTCAGTTTTGAGAAGGGAAACGGTGAAGCTCTTGGTGAAGTCACTACCACTGATGTGACTGTTACTGATGATAGGACATTTACTGATGAAGCAGATGAACTCCACATGAAGCAGAAGCCAACAAGACGGAGACCAGTACGGAAGAAGATACGTCCCGTAAAATTAAGAGACTTTGTTGAATTGTAATTTTGTGTTTGTAATTCTGTACATTTTAATTAAGTTATTGTTATTGGTTTATTGTATGTGGTTATTGTTCGGGACGAACAATACTAAGGAGGGGGCAGTGTTGCGTCATCGAGTCACATGACTACTGTGACGCAACGTTTCTAGAACTATCATGTACTTTGGCGAATGTTCTAGTTCTTACTAGATATAGGGTAGGCTGGTATATAAAAGAGGGGAATATAATGCGTGTGAATAGTCAGTGTGTAATTGATCTGCGGTCAGAATTATTATTGACGTTCGTTGATATAGCGCGATTCTTGAAGTTGAGTGTATCGGTAAAGTTATATTCGGAAAGAATAAACCAGTTTTATTAAGTAAAGACTTGTGTCGCTTAAGTTTCGTCGGAACGAAGTTATGGAAAATTAATTAACACACGGAGACGTAACACCACTATTCGTTGGTAAAAGAGTAGCCCAAGTGTTGGCGGTGGGTGGTGATGACTAGCTGCCTTCCCTCTAGTCTTACACTGCTAAATTAGGGATGGCTAGCGCAGATAGCCCTCGTGTAGCTTTGCGCGAAATTCAAAACAAACAAGAACCGTTTTCATGATGGATATCGAGCTGAACGGGTCGAACCTTACTGTGTAAAGGTACCTATGAATCATGATTTTCTTTTCAGGTCCAGGATAAATCTAGGCCAAGGCTACAGTGAAAAAGTTAGCCAGTTAAGCCTAATTCACGCAGTAATGTTTTATCAGTTTTTCATAGTTAGTAGTTTGTTTTTATCGTCTGGTGCTTTTTTCGTTGTGTGTAAACAAATTACCTTTCATAATACAAATACATTAGGCTTGTTTGTTTGTTTGAAATTAAGCACAAAGCTACACAATGGGCAATCTGTGCTCTGCCCACCACGGGTATCGAAACCCGGATTCTAGCGTTGTAAGTCCGCAGACATACCGCTGTGCCACTAAGGGGGGGGGGTGGCTATACATTAGGCAGATGGAAAAAATGAGATGAAAACAGAGAATGCCTGCCATGTTGTATTATCGTTGTCACGTAGTAATTGTTATTCTTTTCGCCGAGATTTGGAATACATCAACAGAAAAATTAAAAACAAATAATCTCGCTCTCACTTAGCACGAGTAGACGACGAAAAGTAACGGTTTATATATTATCATACTACACATACAGAGGAAGTGACAGAAGACACATATTTATCAGCAGGAAGCGGTACAACTGGCATATGAGATTTGTTTATTTTAGACACCAAGCAATGATGTAAAGTACCTGTACTAAAGATACTGCGACCTTGTATTGTTAAAACCTGCTCAGAACTGATACGTAACTGGCAGTTTGAGATTTGTTTATTTTTCGGTATTGGTTGACAAATACCTAGAATCGGACATTTCAAGGTGTATGGATATATTTATATAAGTGAACGTACTCCAAACTACATGTTTCATAAGCCATCTGTAAAAAGCTTTAATTTACTACTCAACGTTATTAACAATCTGTACACACACATTCTAGAAATCAACACTAGAGGGGAGGACTATCTGACTAACCGTTTAACTACCTGTCCCTGATTTATCTCACGGAGAGCTCGATAAACCTCTGAAATGACTTTTGATCTCTAATGAAGAATGCAGTTGTGTAAGAACGTGTTCACATAGCAAGCAGTGTCTATCGATTACAGATAATATTTTGGAAAGTAAAATAGCAATCAATATAGGTGACATTTTAGTCACTTATTTTTCATGCATAAGAATAAGCTGATGATTTATTCACGTGAAGGTGTGGGGACACTTATTTGTGATGCATATCAGTCATATTGTTTTCTCAATATAAAGCTCCCTAGTAGCTCAGCTTATAGCGCTAAAAACTGGGTTTCGATACCCGTGCCGGGCACCGAACAGATAGCCCATTACATACCTTTATGCTTAATAATAAACAGACAAACATATCTCAATATAAAATCTCCATTTTTAGCACTAAAAACGCCTAAATCAGGAAATACCAAATAGTATTCCATTTAAACTAGTTTCTACATGCTTTATAACTCCCCCCCCCCAAACCAATTAACACTATATCCGTGAAATCCATTGTTTGACATGTATGTATTGAAAAATGCGTCAATGTAAATAATAATAAACAGGTTACAACCAGTGTAAGGGCATGAAAAAATGTATGGGCAACGTTAGCTAGTGATATCCTGATATTAACCACAACCACACATTTAGCTTTCAGACTTCACCACACGTTATAGCTGTTTTTGTTACTAATTTATACGAAACTTCCACTCATTCATACACCAGTTTGTGCGTGTATGTGTGAGAGAGTAAAAACAATTAGTAACTTACGACTGTCAACAAAAACGACAGAAAATACCGTGGAAAAGCCTTAAGATATGAATACTTTTCCTTAACCTTTGTGGTCAGACTGAGACGTTTATTCCTGCAAACCAGTTTTGATTCACGGGTTTTTAACGCCATTCCTAACTGATTACGTAATTCATAAATATATTATGGTTGTGGTTTCACTAATATCTTGAAGTTCTACACATAGCCACAGCTTGTATTTTTCTTCTTCTAGTGTAATATCGTATTTGATAGGCTAATTAACAGAGTTTCTTAACACAGACGCTGCAACCTAATCCAATTTAAATCTTTCAGACACAACAACAAAAGAAAAACTAGCTATTACTATTCCCACCAAAAGATGGCGCCATTACATATTTCTTGTTCGTTGCACGTTTGCTTAAATCATATGCGTGTTTAACTTCAAAGAACTGTATTGAGGTTTATGACTGGTTGCTAAGAGTTACGCTACGCTACAACACGGAACAACAGCCCTTAACAACGAACACGGACATTCTCGAACTTGAACTGTAGGTTTGGGTGGTGTTACTGTCAGACGTTCATAAATGTCACGGCTACGACCATGGACATGGAAAATCTTGCATGTTATCTTTTACGTTGGGATCATCGTTTCTTCCCTTACAAGTTTCATATCGTTTTGCCAGCTTGAAATGAAATTTCAAGGTGATTGTCCAATCTATGCAAAACTGATAATAGAAAACGTGACATCGGCAACTTCTAGCACATTCCACTTCATAACTGATCCAGCAGCAGAAAGTCACACAGAATGGGGCTCGAACCAATGTTGCTCATTTTGTAACTTTACTTTTGTGGCCTCGTTTGTGTACAGCGTTATATGGACGTGGTTTTTCTGCGTATGCTCTCCTGGTGGTGAAGAAGGGGCAGATTTCGGGTAAGAAAATTTCTTAAAATACAACACGTCAAATAATAATTTGTACATTTTTGTATTTCGTGTACGCATACTAAAGTTTATAGATATTTTTTTATTTAAACTCTCCAACGTTTATGTATTATTATAAATGGATTCACTCAACAGTTGTTATGGTAATGCATGCTTTCAACGAAAAGTTAAGATTAGACTTTAGACAAGAACATATATGTATATCTATGTTATAAATGTTTATCCAGTTCAACTTGAGTCAACTTGTTATGTCTTCATTCATTTTGATGTGGTCAAATTATTTCCATTTAAAACCTAAACCATTGCCCATTTTACTGCCTGCCTCTATTTATGTTATATGGGTTTTTAAATTCTTTATTTCGCTTTTAGTTAAATATATGGGTCTGTCCCTTCACCGAGGGTTTAGGTAGAAATGCAGTCTATTAAACACTGGGAAGAAAAAGTTATTTGTTAATATGCAACTGTTCCATCATGTAATTAGGGGTTGTCTTTGTAATAATGAATGAAATTAGCCATAATAATATCATTCTAATCCTTACCATCCTCAAACTAAGAACGGTGATAATGTCCTGATTTTTCAAACGCTTTATGTATAAGCTTAGCACAATATTTTCTTTACCTTAACTGGAAGAAGATTCTAAGTACAGTTTAAAGAATTTATGATCAGTTTATGATATAAATGCTTTATGAACAACTAGCGTATAGCCCATCAAAAATGACGGGGCAATTACTACCACCCCACCCATAGTATACCCTAACCTCATATTCCATAGATAAATTTTGCGAAATCAAGCTTGACCAACAAAGAGGCAGAAAAATGCAAAGAAACGTCGGTAAATTCTTTTGTGAGCCAATCAAAATTAAGATCATTCATGAAATGAATTCGTGGCGTATTCATAGAATAATTATTTGTAAAAATCAGTTAGATTAACAACTTCTAATATATAGAAAAGCCAGTGCGTTTTGATAACACTAGGTTCCAACAATGGATTTTATGTCATGTTGCTTAGCAACAAAAGTATAAACCTAATATTGTTGTTAGTCTATGTAGTGAAAGTATAAAATGAAATGTATAGACAACAAAAGTGGAAAAAATATGTTGATTTCTTAATTTAAGAGTCTCCGTTGATTAAAAAGTTTTTTTTTATTAAAAATGTTGATGATATAACAGAAAATAGCTTAATTCAGAAACGGTTTAGCTTTAAAATTTAATCGTTATTTTTAGTTTCATGACAAATTTTATGCACTTGGCTCTAGGCTAGGTGATCCCACTCTACGTCTTTACTTTAGGCTTATTATACCAACACTCATCACACTTATAAGGTTTCAAGGCACTACCACCACCCCTAGCCTCACGGCACCCTTTAACCCCCGTCACTAAAATAGTAATGAGCAGACAGTAATCAAACAATCATATCTAGATAAATTCATTTTGGCTTTTATGACTCCTCCTATTTCTAGAAATCAAGCGTGACGTGACACACACTGTCTTTTATATAGGTTAGATGTCCTTTTTTGATCACATTATGAAATGAATACTTTATGTACAATGTATTTGTTGATCACTTTATGAAATGAATACTTTATGTACAATGTCTTTTTTAATCACTTTGTGGTACGAATACTTTATGTATAATGTCTTTTTTGATCACTTTATGAAATGAATACTTTATGTAGAATATCCTTTTTTATCACATTATGGTACGAATACTTTATGTAGAATGTCCTTTTTGATCACTTTATGAAGAATGTCCTTTTTGATCCCTTTATGAAGAATGTCCTTTTTGATCACCTTATGGAACGAATACTTTATGTACAATGTCCTTTTTTGATCATTTTATGAAATGAATACTTTATGTACAATTTCCTTTTTGATCACTTTATGAAATGAATACTTTATGTAGAATGTCCTTTTTGTTTACTTTATAGTACGAATACTTTATGTACAGTGTCCTTTTTGATCATTTTATGAAATGAATACTTTATGTACAATTTCCTTTTTGATCACTTTATGATTTGAATATGTACAATATCCTTTTTAGTCCTGTCTAAAAGAGAGTTAAGCTGGAAGTGTTGGAAGCCCTGACGTTTGCCACAAAACATAGACTCAGCCCATTACATCTGTAAATAATCACTTTAAAACCAGTTGTTTGTATTTCAGGTTTCGTCAAGGACACTCATTCAAGCTATGAGCAGAATTCAGTAACAGGAAACCGTAGATTATTATTTTATTTTTTCTGAGAAGTTAGCAGAGTCTAAACAACTCTTATATTCAGGAAAATAACATTTTCATTTTATTTGCATTCTGACGTTTCAGTTTTGTATCTTTCCCAAGAGTTACAACTGCTAACGAGGTTTGGATTTAGCTTAAGTGATTAATCAGTTATAAAGTAATAATTAATATAATTACCAATTCAATCTGATAACTCTTGTTTGGATAGCTCAAGTAATAAATTATGAAGTAATTATTTATTACTGGTACAAAATCAAGTTGATAACTCTTGTTTGGAAAGTAGTAATTTAATAACATTAAAAAAAAATCAAACTTATAACTCTTGCTTGGAAAGTAATCATTAAAACCAATGCAAAATCAAGTTGATAACCTTTGTTTGGAAAGTAATAAAGTACAAAATGGAGCATATAAATCTTGTTTGGAAAGTAATAATTTAATTTGTTTGTTTGTTTGTAATTAAGCACAAAGCTACACAATGAGCTATCTGTCCTCAGGCCACCACGGGTATCGAAACCCAGATTCTAGTGTTGTAAGTCCGCAGACATACCGCTGTGCCACTGGGGGGCAATAATTTAATACCAGTACAAAATTTTGATTTTTTAACTGGTCACGAATTAATTTATCGTAATGTGAAACACTAAAATCTTTGAATTGTCAAGAGTGTGACGTCATACTCAATTGTAAGACAGGGCGATAGAGCGTGTACGAAGTAGTTGTATGTCAGTATTATTATTTGCATCAGACTTGTGTGTGGGCGTGTACATGTGTGGATACAGGAACACAAAGGACCTTGCTGTAAACAACAAACAGCTTTGACAACTGGTGAGGCATCACGTGGTGCGCAAAAAGTACCCTTACATATGAGGAAAATGAGAAAAAAACTCCCGCTTCTTGTAAGAAAAAAGAATGGAAAATTAGGTCTGTAAGCTTAAGTTACCGGCAGCAAAGATGAAACCCCGGTTGCGCTGAACAGTGTTGTATAAATATCTGTATTTTAAATATAAACTTTAGTAACGTATTCACAGTATAATTTGGTTAGTATGTAAGTCAGACATTGTGTCTTTCAGCGAAAACAAAATTACTTAAACACTTAAGTGACTTCCCGTCTAATTCAGTTACAATGGGCTTGCTGAATGATACTGCTTTTTCATACTGATTACATTAACTACGTTTTAGTCCGGCATGGCCAGGTGGTTAGGGCGCTCGACTCGCAATCTGCAGGTCGCGTGTTCGAATCCCCGTCACACCAAACATGCTCGCCCTTTCAGCCGTGGGGGCGTTATAATGTGACGCTATATAATCCCACTATTCGTTGGTAAAAGAGTAGCCCAAGAGTTGGCGGTGGGTGGTGATGACTAGCTGCCTTCCCTCTAGTCTTACGCTGCTAAATTAGGGACGGCTAGCGCAGATAGCCCTCGTGTAGCTTTGCGCGAAATTCAAAACAAACAAACTACGTTTTAAGCAACAAGTAGCAGCTTGCTTTGTTTAGGAGAAGGGTCTTGTCCATTTTCGGGTTAGCTTAGTTTGTTGAGGGGAAGGGTCTTGTCCATTTTTGGGTTAGCTTAATTTGTTAAAGGGAAGGGTCTTAGCCATTTTAGGGTTTATCTTTGATTTTAAATACCAATCAATGCTTTTTGTGAATCAGAAGATTGCGGTTTTATCTAGATGACCATGACTTAGGTCCAGTTTTTGTTCTTTGTATTTGCTGTGCAGCACTAATTTTTACATTCTTCATATTTTAACGTTCTTATCCAATTTTATAATTTAACATTTATTATCAACAGTTCATTTTAACGTTCTTATTGTCCACCAGTGGTTCAGTGATAAGTCAATGGTCTTAAAACGCTAAAAATCTGGTCTCAATACCCACGGCGGGCAAAGCACTGTAACTTTGTACTTTACAACAAACGTTCTTATTAACACAGCGGTATATCTGCGAACTTACAACGCTAGAAACCGGGTTTCGATACCCGTGGTGGGCAAAGCACAGCTAGCCCATTGTGTAGCTTTGTGCTTAACTTCAAACAAACAATGAACACTTTATATTAACATTCATTATTAAGAATTTACTCCTGGTGACCAGTTTGCCCCTTATGAAGAAAGACCTACATACACCGGTAATAAAGTTTTGTATTTTTGTTTTTAATTGATTTTTTGAACCTTCGTGTTCTTCTAACATCATGAATTCGTTATTAACAGTTACCTTTAACATCAATTAATAGATGTAATAATTTTTTACACAAAACATACTTCTATATCCAAGTAAAACACCTAATCGGAGATTTCTGTGGTTTATGGCTGTTATTATGGAAGACGAGTACAAGTACTCAGCCATGTGATCTGACATGTACGTTTCAATGAGACTCAGAAGTGAAGAACACACACAGTGTATTCCCATTTATCAGCTTGAAGAACGGCAGTGTGAATGGAGATTCAAAATGGTAGTGAAACGTCGCAACAAAGACATCTAAACATTTTCATGACTTTAAAGGCAATACCTTGACTATAGAGGCCACAAGTCGTTGCAAATTGAATACAGGTTGACGGATGACTAGAAGCAGTTAAAACACAAGTTGTTGTAATAGTGGATACAGGTTGAATAGAAGCTGGTCAAGCATAAGTCGTTACAGAATGGATACAGAATGACTAGAAGCTGGTCAAGCATAAGTCATTACAGAATGGCTAGAAACCGGTCAATCACAAGTTGCTGTAGAGTTGTTACAGGTTGACTAGATGCCAGTCAAACACAAGTTGCTGT